TTAACATTTTTAATGCCACCTCCCAGGATCAAGTGCACTCAAACCTTTGAGTCTGATCCTTGTAAAGGAAGAAGAAGAATTAGTTTCAGTTTCGGTTTGGCAGAAGTTTTCTGGTTTGGTAAATTACATTATACAGTTTTGACGTGATGTATTTGATTATGTGTTAATCTGAACGTTTGCATCGATCCAATGTGGCTCCATTGAGGGCAATACCTCACAAGTTTTTGTTTTTCCGTTTTGATTATTTAGTGATTCCGTTCGCGATATACACCATAAGGGCGCCATAGGCAAGTCGGGCTATTATGATTGGTCAATGCGTCAGTTTGTAAAAATTGCGGACTTGTTTTTAAATACGGAATAAACACAAATTGTTTGCTTAGATAGATCGTGGTATTTAGTTAGTTTTGGAATGGGGATAGATGTTTAGAAAATTAATGAGGCACGAACGATTGGTATTACATTTACATATTTTCACATGTCAAAAGCACATTAATTTTAGCATATAACGTAATGCATAATTAGTGTAAAGAGTGAATGCAACAGACCGACACAACAACAGCAAATACTGTAGACGCTAACAGAAGCTTCACGTTAACAGCTTCGTTTACTTTGTTAAGTCCATGTATATTGAGCCTTACAACTTTTTACGTGTTAATTAATAGTTTATTCATTTCAGGATGTAAAAACAGTAATCCTCAGATACACCGCCATATTCATATTCATATAGTTATAAAAAAAATGACGTTTAGATTGTTTAAGATATTTTCCTTTTGGTCACATATTAATCTCATCTTGTCTCAATATGAATTTTAATAAATAGAAGGTAGATGCAATTACCTGGTATTTGAATATGTGTTAATCTGAAGTTTCAAATGTGTAGGGGGACTAGTGCTGGATTTCACTGTGATCTCGCCATTTGGCAGCTTCATCTCCTTGATACATTGCTGACTTGTACAAAAGAACAGTAGCCTGTTATCTGAAGTGACAGTAAATCCATCCGACCTAGTTCCCAGGTTTATAGCTTGTTTAATTTCTCCAGACCTGTTGGAAAGTTTAACACAGTTTTTTTTATTCTGTCATTTTTGCCAGCAAACTCCTGATTATGACAAAATATATAGTCTACATCGGTCCACCATGTTTTGAAGTTTGAATGATAAAGGTGGGCTGGAGTTGGTATCTGACTCTGTGATCGAATCAGATGGCGATCTGTCATTTATTATTGTCTCCCCAGCAGTGTTACCACATGAACACGTAACTGTGCCATTATTTGCATCATTAACAAAAACTGTGTCGAATGGTCGGCACACCTCAAGATCGAATTTATAATTGGTGTTTCGGAGGGGGTCGTGATGAAAACCATAAAATACTAACCAATGTGTCGACTCATTAATCTGCTTGATTCCAAACTTCTATTGTAGTATCCTAATATTACAAGTATAAAAGATTTATTTCAGTATGTAATATCCGTGTGATGTCACATGTAAGTAGATTCGCATAAAATCTCGGGATGAGTTTAAATACTTTAATTCCTTGAATTAATCCTCGTACATCTTGCTGAATTGTATTTCGCCGTGTTAATGTACATTTAGATCCTTGTTACACACTGATGTATGTCTGAGTGAAAACATAATCTAACAAATATTCTATCACTGACGGTCGCCACTGTGTGGGTAACAATTAACTAGTACATAGGATACCCACATTCCTGCTCGCCATATTCACATCCAAGTCATTGCTTCATGTATACACCAAGTCGCCTTCCTTTAGAATCCTTCAATTTTCATGATCGATTAACATTGATTCCTGAGTTTGCTAAGATCATACAATTTTCGGTCTCTACCTGCTCAAACAAAGCTCTGACCGGCAGTCTCATTTGCTTTCTTCAATGTCCGTAACTGGTGCTCCAAATGCTCTTCTTCAATGCAAGCTCCAAAGTCAACCGGCTTCTTTGATTTACACACCATATTTGTGATGTAGTTGTTAGTGGTGTGACACCTTAAAAAAAGTTGGGATCAGTACTTTGCTAGAGTTAAGTCCCTTGTGGAGCTCTTTTGTTAGGAGAGAAAACTTGTCGTGTGCAAAAGCGGAAAGCGAGGGGTGCACGTGTGTTGTCAGCACATTGGCGAGGCAGGCTGCAGGTGGTGGAGGGGTATAATAATAATAATAATAATAATAATAATAATGGACTTTATTTATACTCGATAATAACATGTTGAGTCACAGACTCTTCTCACACATGGCCGAGAACATATATACAAGTATTTACAACACGGTATCTGGACCCCGGACTCGTTGTTGGTCCCGGAGCGGGGTTACACTTTCTATAGCTGTAGATGCAGGTAAGCTGCCGTGTTGATTCATTTATAGTGTGGTGAATTTTGGGTAAAGAGTTTATAGGTTTGTTATTTGGAAACCTTGAAAACATTGGGGTTGTTATATTTCGTATGTAAAATGGCCGCCCATGCAGTAGTCGATATAAGGTGAATATTTTGTTGTTGTAGGGGTTTTGAAAATGGCCTAGTACTCGGCGGACGGTGATGGCAGGGCTGGCTTGGCGTCTCCCATACAGTCTATATAGAGATTTGTCGCATAGACGTGTCACTTTCCCTTTGATCTAGCTATGGTAAAACCAACTTATTTTACACAGTTTTACTAATACCATATGGTATAAGCGAGGCTCCTCCCATATACTGAATACAATGGAATTCTCCATTCTCATTGGTCAGCCAATGAAAGTTTAAAGTGGCCAATTAGTGAATGTTAATAGGATATCGACACCTTGAGAAATAACTAAAAATACAAATAATGGAAGTTCAAACACATTTTATTCGGCAACAACGTTGCAAACAATTCAACAAATTTCACCTTTCCAGGTTCCGCGGTCTATCTTTTTTCCGTTTTGTAACTTACAACTTTTAGCATGAACTAGTCCGTCTTATAATTAAAAGACAAAAGGCAATTGTGAAACACATTTCTAGCCATATTATAAATATCAGCAAAAGGACCTTGTACTTTTCTGTAGGCATGTTAATATTCACATTAGTAGGCTTAATATTACTATTTTGACATTTAGCGTCCTCAATTTATACGATTTTGTCCTTCAAACAGAATCCGGGAAGCGGCTTTTATTGGGTATTTACTCCTCCTCTGGCTCATCTTTAATCGCCGAGAGAGGCAGGAGTTAGGTCTTCTAACACTTTTCAGTGAGGTTTTCTGGGTCACTTTCAATGCGAGTCATTACCTGAGACATATGAATTTATTATACGCCCAGGTCGTCAAAGTCATCGTGCGCCAAACTTGGCCTTGAGTTTGAGACGAAGTCCGACATGCTGCAAACTTTTTTTTATATTACAACCAAACTTTATCTTTTAAATTGTTATGTGACACTTTATGCGACAAGTCAGTTACATCATAGGCCTCGCAATATGTCAGTTATCGTACTCGAGGGGCGGAGCTTACATCTCTCGCGCTACGCGCTCGAGAAGTAGCCATGCCCCTCTCGTACGATAACTGACATATTGCCCGGTTCTTATGATATAACTAATACATGGGCATGCAGTGTTGGCGTCTAGAGTTTAGTGTCGCCCAGATATGTGACATGATGATGTGGCAGAGTTAGTGCCGTGAGGTGAAGGTCACGTGTGGGATTCTGTTGTGTGGTGGAATCCTTTCGAGGTCACAGGGGACCGGAAGTGATGTGGCGGGTGGACATAGTGAAGTATTGTGTGTACCACAGTTGGTGTATAATAGTCCGGTGGCTATTATAAACTGATTTATGGAAGTAATATGTGTCCATGTATATATATTAAACTGTAATAATTATACTGTATTTAACAGTTAATTAACCTACCGAGGGGTACATGAACCTTATGAAGTGAACAGTACTAGTAGGGATACAGTGGAGAGAACTTTCATCGGTTAAACAGTACCATAGTACAGGGCTGTTTTACCTACTGAACTTTACCTTACCAAGTGGATTGACATTGCAGATATTGTAGAGAATTATTATGAACATTATTTGCCAAGGTTAACTTGCCTAGGCCTTCTGTCATTCTGCATATTTGATAAACTATATTTGTATTTACCGTGAGTGAGTGGGTATGTGTGGGATTGATTATATGTATTATTCTTAGGTAATTAAATTATATCGTGAACTCAGTATCTTTGTTGACTTTATACATTATCAGGCACCATGACTACAGACCTTTGTGACAATATTATAATGATAAAGACGTTCTCATAGGGAATGAACGGCGTTTTTTTTAATTTTCATGCCGGTATGAACGCAAATCGGTAGCATCCATATTGCATGACGTCATAAGTAAACCACGTGATACGTCACGAGAGTTTTGCTTTCATACTCAAATAATTAATTTTTCTTTGATTTCATGCAAAATACTCTAATTCCATTGGTCAATTCATTCTTTTCATTCTGCTATGAAAAAAAAAAAAATGACCACGCCCACCGGAACTACTTTTTGAAATGTCGGCAACTTCAAAGGAAACATGATGAGAGACCCCCGCTTTGATCACCGGATGATTCCATTGGATTGCAATTTTCTGACGTGTGACTCAATGAATGTGCACATACTACAATTGCAATGAATGTAAAATATTATAAAAAATAAAATTACCTGTCTAGGAATAAAAAATAATAAAAAAAGTTTAGGTATTTTTTAACATCGTCTGCTCATCAACAACAATGGCAGGCGCACCAACATTTAACATCGGCGAACCTGGTGATATTTTGGGGGGGTTTCGGACAGAATTGCGACATTGATGAAGTGGAAAGACAGTTATTGGAAGATGATGAACTGAACAATATTTTGTTAGATTTATTTGACATCGGGAATTCTGCTAGTGCTTCAACACCAACATCGCCGTCTCAGGCAAGGACAGAAATGGCCAGAGCAATGGAAGTGGAACAGCCCCCATAACAGTTTTCAGACAACCAGCCCCCCCCAAGCTCAACGCTTTAAACGACTGTCGGAAGAAGACTTAAAAAATATGGAAGATTCCCGACAGTCAAAATCTACCAAGAATAACACGAAGTGGGGCATCAAGGTGTTTCAAGGTAAGTTTACAAGTTTTGATTGGAATGGTGGGGAAGGGTTGGTAGGGGTTGAAATGACACAAATATTCTTAAACCCTGGCCGGGACTTGAACCCGGATCTTTCCCAAAAAATGGGAATACTTTGCATTAAGCTACCAGGATGTCGAACAATCATGTATCATCTTCACATTTATTTATTTTATTTTTTCTACCGTATTTTTGCTGTATTTTTATTTTTTAAACTTTTAAAACTGGGCTATTTTTTTCAGAATGGAACCGACAAATGGTGGGGGAGGATGTGGACCTTAGCTCCATAGGTGTAGGTGACTTGTGTCTAAAACTACGACAATTCTATGCAGAGGCCACACCAAAAAAAGGCCAAGAATACCACAAAAATACATTGGTAAATGTTCGAGCAGCCATTAACAGACACCTGAATGATATAGGCAGGTTTGATGTTGACATTGTCAGAGACAGGTCATTTAAAAGTGCCAACACCATACTAGACGCAAAATTAAAGGCGAATGTGAGGGATGGCACTTCAAAGCCGACAGAACACAAAAAGATAATATGCAAAGAGGACATGGTCAAAATAAACACTTACCTCACAGAAGAAAATCCAGTCCTTCTACGTTACCGGGTCTGGTTGAACTTGGCAATGCATTTCGTCAGCAGGGGACTCGAATTTCACATACAATTGACACCGCGGTCGTTTAAATTTCTCACAGACGAAAATGACAGGGAATATGTTGTACTGAACCATGAAACAACACAAAAAAACAAACAAGGTGGACTCAATAATGCCGAAGCACCATCGGCGGACAAACGTATGTACTCCACATGTCAACAATGCCCAGTGAAATCCCTGAGGAATTTGATATCCAAAACAGACCCCGAGGCGAAATCCTTGTTAAATCACTGTACGAAGGAAGCCATGTTATTACCCGGTACAGAGGAAGTATGGTTCTCCACAAAGCCTGTAAAACAGTACCAGTTCGCCCGGTTCATGGGTGACATTTCCAGGAACGCTAAGTGCACACAGCTGTACACCGCACACTGCCTGCGGGCAACGGCGATACAAGCCATGAGTGATGCCGGATTTGATTTACGTCATATAATGTTTATTATGGAAAGCCGGTACGACATGCTTATTGCGAAATGCTAAATGCTATATGCTTATTGCTAAATGCTTATTGCTAAATGTGAAATGCTTTATGCTCAATGCTTAATGCCTAATGCTTAATGCTAAATGTAAAATGCCAAATGCCAAATGCTTTATATGTGAATTATGGACGCTTTGTGTATCCTTTCTCGATTGATTCTACAATCAATTACAAAGGAACTTTTTTTCTTCATGACAATGTTAATTTAATATGTAACCAAAAGTGTGCATTTTCGTAGGGTATTAACACAGGGGCTTGAAACGTTCACTAAGACACAGAATGAAATATTTACCCCAGGGTCCGACCCCCAGATCATAAGCCCCTGTGAATAAAACGGTATTCAATAAAACTAACTCATGGTATCATCTGGGGAATGGTGAGGAAGATTTCAATTGACAATTTAATTACATATATATAGTTCTTGACGAAATAATTCAGATGAAGATTTTGTCAGGATTTATTTCCACAAAGGCTACAATGCCAAGGAAATAACAGCAGCAGTTGGGATGAACCATGGATTATGGAGGAGGTAGGTAGCTAAAATGGTTGAACGTAATTTGCACATATCTGTTTAATAATAATAATACTGAGTACATATTACAGATTACCACAGCTAGTATTATCACGGTTTAACACGAATTTTAAAGGTACCAAATATTGCATTATCACAGCTTTTATCAAGGATATCCCATGAAAGTTGGGGAATAACTTATTTCCAATAGAGTCCTCAAGTAAAGATCTTAATTACTTAGAAATTTTAATAAAAAGAACACTTGATCGATATATAGTGGGTGGTATGTTGTACAGAAACAAGTGGCTGGGCCAATACCTACCAACCTAGTATATGCCTATCAAATTATCTCAAAGTATATATATAGTGTACTTATACATAAAGATGAACTCATCAATAAAATAAAGACTGGATGATAATAATACATTCTCAAGAGAGATCTTATATAATTGCAATTATATGAAGATAATTTGTAAATGAAATTTACAATTGAGAGGATGTTACTAAAATATAATATTAGACATTGTATCGCGGTGAAATGTATAGATATTGCATTTTAGGTCATAGTCGTAGGTCCCTAAGTGATTGGGAGTGAGTCCCCTACCTATAAAGGTCAACAGGATTTGACATTTCCTTGAATACTACACACGTGAAAATAACTATACCTTCCAGAATGTTTTAAAAGAGTACACATGCTATATTTAATAAACACATGTACATGAGAAATATAAATTGTTGTAAATTGTTTTTAAGGTTAGGAGAAAGTTATTTGTATTGGCCTTATGTATTGTACAAAGTTAAAAGTATTTACCAAAACTGAAGAGTTTTATATATTATTCTAATATACAATGTTTAAAATCCAGTGTTCGCACAACGCAACGCTGTTTGAAACGCCAAAAACTTCAAGGAAGAGGAGATGAGGCATGTATTGAAGAAATAATTAAAGCAGTTTTGAGAGAACTAGAGGGACATTGTAGAAACCTTGGAGTGGGTCAAATATGGAAGCAGCTTCGAAACGAGCATGGGTTACTTGTTAAAAGGTAATTAGTTGCAATGACTTACAACTTCGCAAATAAATCAAATGTGATGATAACGTACTGTAATAATTCAAGGAGCGTGGTAATCTACTTATAATAATGTAACACAGCTTTTATCTACATCTTACAAGTTGAAATTTATGAGGCGCCGTTTTACTATTTATTCACTATTAAATCGAATTTTTGATATAAACAAGAGGCCCAATGGGCCTGCATCGCTCGCCTGGTATACATCTCACATTTGTAACCTTAAAAGTGATCTTAAATAAAGCTAAAGGCAAACTATCAGTATTTATGATTAAAAGTAATTCAAAAGATGAAAGATTTAAAAACATTTCACTCCTGTGACTTTGAAAGTCGAACAAGGTCGTTATGTTGAACAAATCTAATAGCCCTTTATCTCAGGATGCAACTTGCAAAACATCATCTACCTATCCTTTTGTTTATTGAAATTAGGTCATTTAAATGTTTAAACATATTTGAGTAAATGTGACCTCGAAAGTGGGTCAATGTCGATAGCCCTTCACCGAAGCATGCTACTGGCTACATATACACATTCTGGGCCTCATGGTTATGCAGAAGAAGTTGTTTAAAGATTTTAACATATTTGACCCCTGTGACTTTGAATATAATTCAAGGTCATTCCTTTGAACAAACTTGGTAGCCCATTATCCCAGCATGTCACTGGCAAAATATCATTATCCTAGGCTTCTTGGTTATTCAGAAACTGTTGTTAAAAGGTTTTAAACATATTTGACCTCTGTGACCTTGAAAATAGGTGATGGTCATTTATTTGAACAAACTTGGTAGCCCTTCATCCCAGTTTGCTCCTGGCTAAATATCATCATCCTAAAATATTGACGACGGACGGCGACGGACGGACGGACGGACAACGGACGCAGCACCATGGCATAAGCCTTCTTGGCCCTTCGGGCCAGGTGAGCTAAAATTCAAGCCTATTTTCTGATATCAAAAAATCAATTATATAAAACATAGTGAATAAATAGTAAACCGGTGCCTCATAAATTCCCAGTTTCCAGTCGATATAATTTGTTAATTATTTATTATATCTTTTCTAGGCAAACAGTGAGGGATATAGTCCGAATAATTGATCCACAGAGATCGGCCAAAATGAGAAAAGGAAGACTTCATAGAAGAGCATACACAGTCAAAGGTCCAAACTATATATGGCATGTGGATGGAAATGATAAATTGAAGCCATATGGTTTCTGTATCAGTGGAGCAATAGATGGCTGGAGTAGGAAAGTTATATGGCTTCAAGTTGATAAAACAAATAAAAATCCGAACTTGATTTGTACATATTTCCTGCAAACTGTTGAACATCTTGGCATTGTGCCCCGAAATGTGCGAATGGACAAAGGCACAGAAAATGTTGGAATTGCTGATGTTCAAATGCTTTTCCGTTCAGCACATAACGACGATTTAGTAGGAACGTCAGTTATGTTCGGTTCATCAAACCATAATCAAAGAATTGAAAGGTGGTGGGGTTATTGCAGGAACTCAATTCTTCAGTGTTACATGGATATTTTCAAAGACCTGGAGCTTTCAGGTATCCTACAAATGGCTAATGTTCTTCATACAGAATGTCTGAAGTTTTGCTTCATGAGAATTCTTCGAAAGGAACTGGTGACACATGCATGCATCTGGAATAAACACAGAGTCCGAAGTATGAAGCACACAAACTGTCCTGTTGGTGTTCCAGATTTTATGTTTAATCATCCAGAATACTTTGATTCACAACAGCAAGGAAAGCCAGTAGATTTGCATATTCTTATGCTCTGCAAAGATGTATATATGAAGAGAGTGAATTTGGATCAGAAGATATATTTAGCGAGTGGGCTTTAAATGTTATGGTGGAAAAAAGATGGAACTTGCCAGATACATTTGAAGATGCATTGAACTTATTTTCTGATCTAATTTTAATTATCTATGATATGGAAAATTAGACATTCTTCGAAAAGGTCATGTGATCTAAACAAAAATTACAGCAAAGACAGAATACAAAAGTACATATGTTCAAAAACACTTTTCCAGCACTTATTAATGGAACTTTCTTTATCTGGGATGTTTCATAATATCAGAATTTCAATATGTGTTATGTTGAAGTTTATTTGTAAAATTTCATCATTGGACAAGTGTCTCATTTCATGATGTCAGATATCTATTGCAGTGACTTACAAATGTCAAAGTCAAATTCATCGTAACAAACTTGATATCACTAGTATAAGTATTCCATTTAAGTTAGCAACGGGCAATAATTAATGACCCATAGTCCTGTTTTTAATTTTAAGTAAGTCGTCATGTTAAATACGCTGATGTGATTTCCTGGTGAACACCAGCTGGTTGATAAAAGTAATGTAAAGTAAATGTAATTTTTGCTGCACATAATACAGTATCCCTCCATGTCTGTTATTGATAAATTAAAAACAAATTGAAACAGTTTGAGATTTAATCAATTAAAGATAATGATATCACAACATAAATACCAAATCAAAGTGGATGAAAATGATCATGGTCAGTGTTTAATGGGAGACACCGATGACCGACTTGTTCAAACCCATTTAGTTGTCAACAAGTTCTCTTACTTCCATTTACTCCCAGTAACAAGAGGCCCAGAGGGCCTGTATCGTTCACCTGAATATTAAAGCAGTCATAGCAAAATATTCTCATTAAATATTATATTGCACTACAAATATTTCCCTCGCAAACTTTGTTGGCTCCATCTGTTGAAACTACCAGCCAAATATTATAATTTTATGCCATTCGATTATTCAGAAGTTGTTTGATGTTTTTGACATATTTGATCCCCGTGACCTTTAAAGTAGGTCAAGATCATTTCCATTCTAAAACTTTGTTAGGCTCTATCCCAGGAAGCCACCAGCCAAATTTGAAGATTCTATACCTTTCAGTTCTTCAGAAGAAGTCGTTTGAAGTGTTTGACACATTTGACCCCTGTGACCTTGAAAGTAGGTCAAGGTCATTTTCGTTCTTAAACGTTGTTGGGCTGCTACCAACAAAGCTTTCAGTCAAATATCATGGCTCTATGCCTGTTCGTTCTTCAGAAGAACTTGTTTAAAGGAAAAGTTGACGGACGACGCACCATGACATAAGCTCACTTGCCCTTCGGGCAGGTGAGCTAATAATGGACCTTAAACACAATAAATGTAGATATTTTGTATCTTTGGAATCAATCTGCATATGGAATATGGGTGTTTTGGAGTACAGATTCATAAAAATAGCACTTCTAAGTTCCATAATGCATGTTTAACAAAATGGGGTGGCATTTCAATCAATTGTCTACTAGTATATACTCTTTCATCTAATTATAATACAAATTCACATCAGAATCTACTGTATTCGACTTTTTATTTCCTTATAATGCAGCAGTCGACTTTATTGTATTATGAGTTGACATAATATCTCTTCTTTTGACAGGGATGTAATTATACATGTACATGCAACAGTAAAATACAGATGACTTTGATTTAAAATTCACATTCCTTGTAACTTGCTTTATCATACAGGTAGGTAATTTCTCATGTTTTAAATGAACAAGAGGACCAGAGGGCCTGTATCGCTCACCTGAATATGTTTAAAATAATTGGTATGAAGTAAAGATATAGCACTCCATGGTAGGTGCTGTAAGTACATATGAATTTCAGAAAGATCCATCCAGTACTTGAGATATAGCGAGAACAAACTTCAAACAGAGCCCCACCCCTAGGCCCCTAGGGGGTCATACCCACCAATTATACAAAAATGAGACCTCTTGGCCCAAGGATGCTCTAGACTAAATAAGGATAAAATCCCTTAATATGGATGGTCGAAGAAGGATTTTCAAGGTTTTACCTCTATTTCTCCTATTGGGCCCCGCCCTTCTGCCCCCTGGGAGAGCACACCCACTGCTTATACAAAATTGGTTCCCCTTCACCCAAGGATGCTTCATACCAAATTTGGACAAAATCCTGTCATTCGTACAGAAGATATTTGAAGAATTTGCTATGTTTCCTCTATTGGCCCCTCCCTTCTGCCACCAGGGGGGCCACACATGCTGTTTATACAAAATTGAGTCCCCTTGGCCTAAGGATGCTCCAGACCAAATTTAGTCAAAATCTACTCGGCCGTTCAGGAGTATTATGGTTTTAAAGGAAAAGTTGACGGATGGACGACGGACGCTGCGGTATGGCATAAGCTCACCATGGTCCTTCGGACCAGGTGAGCTAATAAAACACATTGTGAATAAGGCAAAACTTTTTAAAAATATCTGATTGTAAACATTCTTAAAAGTTACATTCCTTGTAACTTGCTATATCATACAGGTAGGTCATTTCTCATGTCTTAAATGAAAACACAAATTGTTAATCAGGCAAATTTTCCAAAATTTTCTGATTGTACACATTCTTAAATAAAACTTACATTCCTTGTAACTTGCTTCACTGGTAGATAAATTCTAAAGTTTTAAATGAACAAGAGGACCAGAGGGCCTGTATCGCTCACCTGAATATGTTTAAAATAATTGGTATGAAGTAAAGATATAGCACTCCATGGTAGGTGCTGTAAGTACATATCAAATTTCCGAAAGATCCATCCAGTACTTGAGATATAGGGAGAACAAACTTCAAACAGAGCCCCACCCCTATAGGGGTCATACCCACCATTTATACAAAATTGAGTCCCCTTGGCCTAAGGATGCTCCAAACCAAATTTAGTCCAAATCTACTGGGCCGTTCAGGACAAGTAGCGTTTTAAAGGAAAAGTTGACGGACGGACGCTGTGCCATGGCATAAGCGGTGAGCTAATAAAACATACGAGTCATATCAGAAAAGTTCTAAATCACTGTCTTGCATATGGCATATTATGTTACTTTCCTAACATTCTAGATGTGTCATGTAATGATGTTATTTTTTTGATATTAAAATATCATTTAGTTGTAAACACATTGGAATTGGCAACACAGAATGCGTTTGTCTCTAAACCTGAACATAAGGTATTAACCTGAGTGTATATGCTGCAAATATAAAATTACAATATATTAATTTTGTATATTGTGAAACTATTCTGATTGAGATAATATCCGGAAACAAAAGTACTAACGAACATGCGAACAATCACCCTGATCACTGTGATAGGTAAAATGTACTTTATCATGCAAAAATTAACTATAGTATGGCCTATTTACATAATAATGGTAATTTTCAAGAATCAATCCTTATACCCTTCATCAAAAGCTTTTACATTCATTACTACATTAGTAACATTGGTCAATAAGTGAAAATATTCAATTTCCATAACTTACTTCAACTTAAACCACTAAAACTGTCAATCATCAGAAAGGCAATTGCTGTTCTGGAATTTATTTTCAAAATTGGAATGTGGAGTAGGAAAATTTCTGGTAATGACTCATAAATAATACATATAAACAAAAGTTTGAAGGTTTCAGCAAATAGAGGCTATTGAGGCTTTCCATTCAATGAAGCTTTGTGCGATATCTTCTGAAATTTTCCAGACTTCCTTAGATGCAGTCTCAGCCACCTGTACATTTGGATTCTCTGATTTATGGACATAATGAAGATAATAAAGAAGGGGAGGGTTCACAATGAAGAGTTGATTTACATTCAAAGTTTTGCAAAATCTGTCAAATTCTTCCATGTCATCCTGAGGGATGCAAAAGAAATCTCCATAGGCATTTGTGATTTTTTTGTACTTGTTACCATTCTTTTCTTGGAATAGGATTACTTTTGGGTTTACTGCATGCACAGGACAAAAAATCCTGGTATCAATATCAAAACGTTCCCCTCCGTCCAAATCCATGATTCCTCTCTTTCGTTCCTCTTGTTGCTCCTCTCTAACGAAGTCTAAAACATCTTTGAAATAGTCATCCCTTGTTTCCTCTGATGAACTTGCCAAAAGATGACCGTCTTCTGTGGATTCTGATGTCTGATCATCCCTCTCTGATTTTGGGTCTGTGGATTTTGATGTCTGATCATCCCTCTCTGATTTTGATTCTGTGGATTCTGATGTATGATCATCCCTCTCTGTTGATGGATCAGTTTCTGAACTTGGTGTTTCAGCATCCTTTATTTCATCGTTTGCAACACTTTCTCGCACTCCTAGATATATTCTCGTAGTCCCTGCATACTTCTTATGACTTTTGATGTATTCCAAAATTGTAAAGTCGTCAGGGCTCTCAATCTCTCTGTTGTTCATATCTAAAAGAACATTCTCGCATGCATCATCATCACAACCAAACTCTGTTTTCAGAATTTCTAAAACTTCGTAGTAATTTGCAGCTTTAGGGAACATTTTCTTGATCGCAGAATGGTTATAAGGGCTCGATTTGCCCTTTATCTGGACCCATTCTCCACTTCTAAATGTTTTTATCCCACAAACAAGGATATATGTAGGCTTGGAATGAGAAGGACCAGGCTCCTGGTAATCCTATAAGTGAAAAAAAGAAAATCAGTAATTAATTATGCAGACAAAATAAAACAGGAAGCAAAGTGGGCCTGAATCGCTCACCTATTCTGCTGCATATCATCTTATGAAGAGTATGACGGGAGTATAAAAATAGAGGGTCAATTTCAGCTTTACGGGGGCCATGGGGCTCCCTGGCCTCCTTCAAGATTTATCCCTGTCCTGCATTTGAAAATGGCAACACTCCTTAAGACATTTATATGTAGTTTATATGACAATTATGGCAACGCATGTTTAGCCAACTTAACTTTACAGTGCCACCATTTTGGGAAAACTGCAGTTGAAATTGAATGCAAAATACTAATATTTATGTCAAGTATACTGTATAAGCAGGCAACCTCCTTTCCTGACAGTTCATTAATTCTGATAAAAATGATAATTCGAGGTTCTTATATACTGCTTTATCACAACCTAGTTCGTAGGTCATCTCAAAAGCAGTTCACAAATTATTATCCGTGGTTATAAGGCCTTTGCAACCAGCCAATATCTTTCTCAACTTCCTGGGGAGCATACAGCCGGAGCTGACATTTCGGCGCTATTAAACAGCTAGCATTCAACAATTCTAGCGCTGCCCAACCACATACTCATTTACAGCCGAGTAGACTGGAACAATCGGAGTAAAGTATCTTGCTCAAAGATACAACACAGTGCCGTGCTGTGACTCGAACAGGCAACCCAATTCGGTCACGAGCCCGGCGTCCTACCTCTAGACTACTGTGCCTCCTTTGTCTGATGAAGCAAGGCAGGATTGAGGCATGTTTATTTCATTACTATGCACCAAGCATAGCAATGTTACATATAGTGCATGATTAATTTAACTTTAATTCACTGGCTCCACTAGGGATTTGTAACAGGCTGGTAATCACTTGTTGTCCATCTTATGCATTATGCTAGACTCAACTATATTTAGATATGTTCTTATTACTAAATTAACTATTGTCAGATCAAAATACATGCTAGGTTATATATATTGTGTAGTATTCTACTTATCTTTAGCTTTATATTATGTCCATACCTTTTAAAAGTAGTCTTATAACAAAAATAAGTATATAAAACTGCCATCTGTCATTTTACTACTGGGCGCCGCCATCTTGGATAGCGCACGCTGTGACATCAGGGTGCACAGTAATATTCTGAATGCGGTGCCGGAATTGGGCACTCGACCCCCAGACTAGACAGGCGATTGGCAGGGTTTTCTATTCAGCATCAAAGTAAGGATTTATCACTAAGTTTTATCTTAGATATTTATTAGAATATATTCTTCTGTATTATAATAGCAAATAATTTATTATTATCTATTTCAAGGTATACTTAAAGCTATAATATTGTACAGAACTTCTACTCTAGAAACTTATTAGTACACTAGTACTGTTTGACATTGGAAATTGATACTTATATTTAATTCGCTACCAGCCTGTTTTATTGTGAGATTATTATACTATTATGTAAACTTGAATATAAGTCCTGAACCTGAACTTGCTGACTTGGGTGATTATTTCTCTATTAGTTCGTCTTCTCCATATTTTATGATTCCGGAACATCTCCATTCCATCAGGGACACATGCCATGTTTTAAGTACATTAAAATTTAAATCTGTAGTATGCGAAAAAGTTAAGATTGAACCCAGGACCTCTGGCTTTCTAGTCTTACACTCAACCGATCGAGCTAAGGAGAAGTGAATTAAATTTAATTAATCATGCATTCGTTAGAGCAACATGGTGAGACTAACTATCATTTAATACCCTCAAAAAAATTATAATGTCTTTGAACGACTGTAAGATATTTGCATTTCAAAGTCCAATTGAAGAGAATCATTAAACATGTGTCAAGTCCCTTTCAGAACATTTGACATTAAATGCATGTCTTTTACAGTACATTAATAGTGTTTACATGTAATATCTAATATGTATCTTGTTAGTACTATGGAACAAGTTTAGATGATCATGAGAAATGATATAATTCATTGATACCTTTGCTGGCTTCTTTGAACTAGGAGCCCCATGTCTTTCAGCTGGCGCAAGTCTTTTTTCTCTCAGCTTTCTTAATTTTTCTTTCACATCTTCTAGTTTGATCTTATCTACAATAATACAGAACCAATCAGTCAAAAGTAAGTTAGTGATAGATGTACTGTATTGTGTTATTATCAACTATTGGTGTTTATATCTAGGAATCGGGATTCCTCCCCAAAAACATTAATTTATTTTCCCCATTTATTCACAGAACTAGGATTAAACTTATAAGGTTTGGATGTAAATTTTGCCATGATGTAAATATGGCAAACCGTTTTGGTTTTTACCTATTTAATTCAGATATCTTTATTTGAATTAGAGATATCTCTATTTATTGACAAAATAGAGATATCTGTGATTAAATTAGAGATATCTGTACTCAAAATAGAGATATCTGTATTTTAATAGAGATGAATTAAATAGGTAAAAACCCAAATGGCTTGCCATAATCACAGGGGCAGGTTACAAACAATAAGAATAATATATATGAAATGGGAAGCCAGCTGTACAACATACTCTACACATACATGTAGAGTATGTAATACAGCTGGCTTCCCATTTCAAATATATTATTCTTATTGTTTGTAACCTGCCCCTGTGCCATAATCATGCATATTATAAATCATTACATGGAATTGATATATAGATAGGCCTTTAAACTAATTGAGCTATATCCAATTCACATTTTTGTCTAGTTAAACAGGACCTATAATGAAATTATTAATATGTAATTATGTATCACTCTAAAAATTGGTTGTGTAGAAATCAAGCACTGTTAATCTAATATGATCCCTCGTTGAATAGGACCTAATGTAGAAAAAAGCATATATATAAGTTTGAAAATATATGGTCAGATTCCATGTTAATAACTCAATATATTAGAAGGCTTACAGTTAGGCTAGCTATAGAGTATAATACAGTAGACTTACTCTGCTTCTGGTCGGAGACTGGCGATGGATGTGATTCTGGCCTGCTTGGTCGCCCGCACGAAGGACAAAATTTGAACTGCGGTGCTAGTTCTTTACCACATCCTTCACATCTGGACAATAGTCTTGCACCACAGTGGTAGCAAAACCTGCTATCACTGTGGTGCACGAGTATCTCATTACACGCATGGCAGGCATGTGACATATCCGCCATCTTTCTCTTTTTCGCGCGAAAAAACTATGTTAGCAAGGGAAATAACTCTAATTTCTAGCCTCTGTTCCGAACTTTCTAGCCTCTGTTCCGAACTTTCGTATTTTAATACAACATTTCGCAATTAGCATTAAGCATTTTGTATTTCGCATTTCGCAATTAGCATTAAGCATTTCACAATTAGCATGTCGTACCGGCTTTCCATAGTTTATGTCCGGCCATAAAAATGAAAGCTCGGTAAGGAGCTACAGCCGTGGATGTTCAACTGGACAAAAGCAAAACCTTAGTGCAACTCTAGAATCCGTAGTGCAGCCAAACACCAGTCACCAGCTCGTTCCCGTTACACATACAGCACCATCACAAACAGTGACACTCGCCGACATTCAAAACGTGTGCTCCAACAATCATGTCAACCCGCCGGTCACTATGAATCCACAGAATTCCATGCTCACTGTCCCACAAATGTCTTCCTCGCAAAATTTTGTATCTGCTGGCCTAATGTCAAACTCATCATTTGCTCACTGCGTGTTTAACTTCGGACAGTAGTAGCCTCGTGTACATGTGCTCTCCGCTACCAGCTCAGCTCCTGTACAGCTCTGAAATGCTTTTCTGCGGGTCCTCCTTAAACGCGTCTTCAACCGATAACAAGCGTCGCCAGACAAATTCTATAAAAATACCGAATAAAGTAAGCGACATCAGACGATATGTTTTTAATATGACTATAATACACCTCTATACCAAATTTCAATTTGATATTTGAACAAGAGGCACATGGGCCTTAACGGTCACCTGAGTTATGTAGAAACTGATGTTATCCCTTTTTGGCCCGCCCCTAAGGCCCCTGGGGGCTGGGGACCGTATAATTCACAATTTTGGTTGACCTTTGGCCATGGCAGGTTTCTGCAAAAATCCATTGAAATTAGTTAAGGGGTTTTGGAGAAGAAGTCGAAAATGTAAATTGTTTACGAACGGACGACGCACGACGCCGGACAAAAGGCGATCGCAATAGGTCACTTGATACTTTGTCTCAGGTGACCGAAACATTTACCGAGTTATAATGAATTGAATTTTACGATCTGCGGCGTGGCACGTGTGTGTATTTACCTGTACAGTTAAGATAGCGTCGCAAGACAATATCTTTAAAAATTCTTCCGAAAGTAAGCGACATCAGATAATATATTATTATTAAGACTTGTACTGATATATACTCCTAATTTTAGCTAGATATATGAAAAAACGAATGATAATGATGAATTGAATTTTTACGATCGGTGGCGTGGCACACGGGGGTGAATAGAACTTCGCAGATCGTGAAACGTCTTCAGGCTTTACCTCTAAGATTTACCTATAAAGTAAGCGACATCAGAAGATTTGTTATTGATATGACGATGATACACCTAAGTACCAAACTTCAAGTCGATATTTGAAAAAATGACAGAGAAATGACGAATTGAATTTTTACGATCGGCGGCGTTGCATACGTGTGTAAAGAAATCTACAGATCGTGAAGCGTCTTCAAACTATATCTCTAAAATTAATCTAAAAAAGTGAGCGACATCAGACGATATGTTATTCATATGATTATAACACACTTTTATACCAAATTTCAGCTTGATATTTGAAAAAATTGACCGAGTTATCGTGCGGTAAACTTTTAAGATGTACAAGTATGAAGATTTACAGCGTATCACACATGTGTGCACACATATATTTTTTTGATGTTTTTTGATCTTTTGATTTTGTTAATAGAAGCAAGTTATGGTGTAAAATGATCAATTGTGGTATCAGAGGTAAGTTCCTTCAAATTTTGATTGACCTATATAATAATGTTAAATCATGTGTAAAGTATAACGGAGTCCTAAGTGATAGTTTTTGCAACAAGATTGGACTTTTACAGGGCGAAGTACTGTCACCAATTTTATTTTCCTTATATGTTTATGATTTTGAGATCAATTTCATAAAAGACAATTGTCCAAGTGTAGAACTGCAACTTATAAACCTATTTTTGATCATGTATGCAGATGACATGGTGCTGCTATCAGAAACACCAGAAGGTCTCCAATCTATGCTGGACTCCCTACAGGATTATTGTAACACATGGGATCTGGAAGTCAACATATCTAAAACCAAAATAGTTGTTTTTAGAAATGGTGGTAACTTACGAAATAATGAAACGTGGTCTTATAAAGATACAAACATTGATATCGTGGATGAATTCAAATATCTAGGTATGCTTTTTCATTATAATGGAAAATTTCTTAAAACACAGAAGCATGTGGCTGATCAAGGAAGAAAGGCACTGTTCGCCTTAGCATCTTCGTTACGCAATTATTGTTTTAATATTGAAACTCAGTGTACTATTTTTGACTCTTATGTAAACAGTATTTTGTGTTATGCCTCAGAAATCTGGGGATTTCACAAAGCACCTGATGTAAATAAAGTTCATTTAATTTTTTGTAAAAAATTCTGGGAGTCGGACAATGCACTAATAATTTGGTTTATTGTGAACTTGGTAGATTCCCCCATATAGTCCAAAGGAAACTGAGGATTTTTAAATACTGGTTAAAAGTGAAATGTAGCGATAACTGTATATTAAAAGCTTGCTATGACGAGCGTATAAGTGGTAATGATGACTGGTTAATTAATATTAGGCAAGAATAAGCTAGTATGGGTTTGGAGTATATCTTTGAGGAAAACCTACCTATTAATATTGCGGCAAAGATTATAGAAAAAAGATTGCTCGATGTTTCACGACAAAGTATGTTAACAAATATTTCAAATTCTTCAAAGGGGTATTTATATCAACACCTGATAGACAATGTCGATTTACAGTTTTATTTGCGTAAGCCAATCCAATCAAAATTCAAGCGTCAAATTACTCGCTATAGACTGTCCTCTCACAGTTTAAATATTGAAGTCGGGAGGCGGAATAATATAAACCGTCATAATCGACTGTGTACTAGATGTCATTTAGGCGACATTGAAGATGAGTTTCATTTTATTCTCAAATGTCCATTTTATGAAAATCTAAGGTTAAAGTACATAAAGAAATATTATCGTTTAAGTCCGAGTGTGTTTAAGCTAACTCAACTATTAAGTGCCAATAATGTAAAGGAACTCTTTAATCTTGGAAAATATTTACATTTGGCAACAAGTGTACGTGAAGAGTCACTCTCCTCTTAACATATGTCCATATGTTATTCTGTATTGTATTGCATGACATGTTGTACTTATCTTGTAATATATGTATTATACCCATGAGTCAGTTGACTCCAGGTTAATAAAACAAAAATATATAAGGACTTCGCTTGGCTGAACACGGCCAGCCCGGATTAAATTGCTGTGTAAACACTGGTATAACATTTTGTTTGTTTTATTATTTGTTGTTTTCCTCAGCAGAATGGATTTGTTTTTTCAGTTCCATTCTTTGTAGAAGTTACCAGACCGCTACGGACTCTTTGCCCATCATATATGAGCGTGTGACTATATCTATTATGTAATGTGTTTAAAAACATTTAAATATTGCTTTTATATTTGTAGACTTACAAAAAAAAAAAAAAAAAAAAAAAAAAACTTTTAATAAAGCTTAGTGCTTAATACCGTCGGTATTTTCATATTTTTAGCGACTCCTGTGGTATTATTAACATGTCATTCGTGGAAGCAAAAAAAGAAGTCGGTTTTCTAGCACACATGTTTTGGGAACTTTTAACTTTTAGAGCTTTATCAAATGTTAACAATTCCCGCGAGACAACTAAGCTTGAAATTTTGCGCGTGCGCGGCCAGTTCATAGTCACCGGTACCAACGACCATCAAGAGTATTGCGATTGTTGCATGCTGAATCAGCTCGGGAACTTTTGAGGTTTGAACTAGCTTGATGGTGTGATTCATTATTTCGAAATGGTTGTTTTTCAACCACCATCCACGGACTTAGACTTAATCTAATTCCGTGGTACATCAGAGTATTGAGACTGTTGAATCACAGGGGCACGTTTCAAATGTCTGAAATACACACATATGCTATACTGATATGGGTCACAACACACATAAACATACACAAGGGAAGAAGCTTCGTCAGAGCACTACCGGTACCGCCAAATTTCAAATGAAGATTTTCAACACTTACTTTTGTTATTTTTTTCAGCGATCTGCGGCGATAGCTTCGGTTTGAATTGTAATTAAATAATCCATCATGATCAATTGTGTAATCATTCGTCTAATACATCCAATCAAGCACTTTTTCGGGGAATTTGCAGTTTTACCGCCATGATTAACTTGAACCTGACCCGGAAATGACGAGGGCTTTTCGACATGTCTTTATACCATACTGCCAAATACTACGGAAAGTCCCAAGGCCCCCCGAGTAGAGTCTAGTCCCGCAGC